GTTTTTCAAAACAGGGTTTCTCTGTGTAGCTTTGTGCCTTTCCTGGAACTCACTTTGTAGATCAGGCTGGCCTCGAACTCACAGAGATCCACCTGCCTCTGGCTCCCAAGTGCTGGGATTAAAGGCGTGCGCCACCACCGCCCGCACACAAGCATTTTTGCTGCTGTGCCTTTACTTCCATTGCCCTGTGCACTTGTCCACATCAGCGCACAGCTTTACTCCTCCAACAGTTGCTTTGCTGCTCTGGTTTAGACATGTGGAAAGTTGTACATTTATATGCTTTGGTGTAAATGCACATCATTTATGCTTCAATTGAAGTGCATCAGAATTTGCAAAGGTACCATTGTGTGGTGCTTTTGTAATAGATACCTGTGAGCTGCTTACTAGTACATTCAAATGTAGTCATGTACTAGTATATTTTTGTGTGCTCCTTTCTAATGTTTCCATGAGTGCTGGTATCATATATCCATGAGTCCTGCTGTATTATTACATTCGTTTACACTTCAATAATACTACATACATGTAAGGCTATACACAGACATACATGTTTGCTGCTTTATGACAGACAACATTCATGATCACTCCTATAATACTGAATCTATGAATGCACCTTCACTTGTATTTCATGTGTGCTGTTCTACTGGTAAGCCAGTGTAGACTGATGTCAATGAATGTCCATGTGTTCTGATGTACTAGTAAATATATGGACACACCAATACTAGCACATCCATGTGCACTGCTCTACTTCTGCACGAGTGGCCACAATATCCTGATGTGCAAATACTAGAACATTCTCGTTAATGCTCTTTTCTAGTATGGTCTTTTCTGACCACTTCTATTACAGGACATCAGTGTATTAGTTCAGGTTTCTATTGCTGCAACTGAATACCATGACCAAAAGAAGCACGTTGGGGAGAAAAGGATTTATTTGTCTTACACTTCAACACTGCTGTTCATTATTAAAGAAGTCAGGGCAGGAACTCAAGCAGGGCAGGAACCTGAAGGCAGGAGCTGATGCAGAGGTCATGGGGGGGTGCTGCTTACTGACTTGCTCCCCATGGCTTGCTCAGCATGCTTTCTTATAGAACCCAGGAGCACCAGCCATGTTACAGTGCTGTCATGTGGTGGTGTTGGCATGCCTGCTCACACACATGTTGTTTCTCAGCACCATCCCTTGGCATTGTAGGCACAACTGTTTACACACATGACATGAAGCCCCAGCACAATCCTGTGGTGATGTGTGCATGCCTGTTCACATGCATGTGGTTTCCCAGTGCCATCCTGTGATGGCATGGGCATAAGTGTTCACACACAAGCTGTGACCAAGTGCCATCACATGGCAGTGTGGCTATACAGACCTGTTCACACAATTGCCATGTCCCTGTAACATCATCAGACACGTCTGTTCACACATGTTCTGTGTCCTGGCATTGTTACATCATGGTGTGAGCATGCCTATTCACATGTATGCTGTCCCAGCACCACTGCCATGGAAGTATAGGCATGCCTGTGCACACACATGCCATATCCCAGTACCATCTCATGTCCACATGGGCATTCCTGTTCACAGACATGGGGTTGCTCAGTGCTATCCTGTAGTGGCATGGGTATGTGTGTACACACAAAAGCCATGTCTCAGTGCTATCCTGTAGTGGCATGGGCATGCGTGTACACACAAAAGCCATGTCTCAGTGCTATCATGCTGGCATATCTGTTCATACACATTCCATGTTCTGCATCATCATGTCACAGTATGGGCATGCCTCCTCATATGTATGCCATGTTCCAGGATTTCAGGTGGTGGCACAGGAATGCCTATTCATATGCATACTGTATCCAGGCAGCATCCCTTGGTGGTGTGGGCATGCACCTGTACAAACATGTGTGATTCTAAGAGCCTAACTTGGGTGCTAGGAACTGAACCTGAGGCCTCTGCAAGAACACACATTCTTAACCACCAACCATCTCTCAGCCTTTGAATGGCGTTTTACTTTTATTACATATTCATTTCGTGTACAAGCACCTTGCTAACCACCTCATCCGCTCCTTCAGTAGGTATTAATAACTCAAAGCAGCAGTTTGAGACTGTGGCAGAACTCAACAAGATGTAGACACGTACAAGCCTGCAGTTCCAGTTACTCTGGAGAACGAGGCAGGAGGAATCAAGTTCAAGGCCTGAAGGGCTACAGATGAAGTTCAGGGCCAGTCTGGCCAATTTAGTGAACACCTATGCCAAAAATATTAACAAAAGGTATGCGGTCAGAGACCACCTAAATAGAGAGCAGGCTGAAGAATGTCAGTTGCTCTTAGAAGCCAGAGAGTTAAATAATGACATGAAAAAGTAAAATAGTATGAAGAGAGGCACTTTTGAGACTCTGGTAGCCAGGAGGTTGGCTCATAGCCATTTGTGACAGAAATAATCGATTATGATCTCCATTTATTGTCTAACAAATCACAAAACTCTAGTTCTAAATGACCTTCTGGGAAGAGGAGTTCGTAATCTCCTAGCAGACAAAAATTTTATAGCAGCATCTCTGGCAAGGGCATAAACTCTATAAACTTTCACCACAAGCAAAACAACACCCCACCCCTCTCTTCGCAATCCGGAAGACTTAATCAAAAGCGGAGCTGCCTTCTCCAACTGTGTGCACTAAACCCAAACCAGGAGGGTGCTCGGCTCCTGCGGGGCTTAGTCCCTCCAGTGATCCCAGGATCCCTACACGCGGCGAGGGGAGGAGGGCAGAAGGTGGATCCCGCGGGTTCCTGGGGCAGCCACAATCCTCCTTTACTTTTTGCGCGTTGCACCGCCTCCACCTCCGGGGTAAAATGCAACCCAGTGCTTTCCCGCTGAGGCGAAAGCATGGAATACCTTTATCTTTTCAGTCGCCAAAAGAAATGACATAACAGTCTTCAGACTGGACTGCAATGGAGTGGGAAGCCCGCGTCGGGTCCCCCCCAGGCCCCGCCCTCCCAGGACAGGGGACTACACTTCCCAGGGGCCTCCGCGGGCCCGAGAGGCGTGCCCGACGGCCTTCCCGCTCTCTTCAGGCCAGGAGTGGCTGTCAGGGAGAGGGGCGGGGTTTGTCGCAGCCAGTGAGCGAAGGTCTCGTTACGGCGGCGGAAGCAGCGGCGCTGGAGTGAGGGGTGGGGGACAGAGTGCTATCGGCCCGGCGGTGGCTGCGGGTCCGAAGCCCGAGGACAGTAGACTCACAGACGGAGAGCGCACAGGAGCAAGCTAGAGGCGGCGTGGCCGCGCCCAGGTAATGGCGGAACGCGAGCCGGGAGGGCGGGGAGGAGTCGAGGGGGCGGGACTGCATGGCCAGTCCCGGTGCTCGTCCCCGGGGAAGGACAGAGCCGTACACAGCTCTTGCAGCCCTGCTTCCAGCGCTCTAGCGAGCTGGAGGCAGAGCTGTGGAGTCGGCGGCAGGGCCCCGGTTGCTCGGTGCGAGGAAGGGCGAGAACCCCCGAGGGGTGGGCAGCCCCGGGCACGGGGGCGTGGCGGACGCGGGCCTCGGTCGGGAAGTCCGCGGGAGGGAGGACGGCCTAGGGAGTTTGGCTGCTGGAGCAGTTTAAAGTGACTCTCCACATCCGGGCCCTGCGCCCGCCGCTTTCAGACCCCTGCCGGGGCGGGGCCTCCCGGATCCCCGCCCTTCTTGCCGGGGATCGCCTCGCTTTCCCTTCCATTGGCCCAGCCGAGGGGTTCAGGCTGCTCCCCGCCCCCAGCGAGACCGGCGCCTCATTGGCTGGCGGCCGGCGGGAGGGTGGGGCGGGCCCAGAACGCGCAGGCAGCTGCGGATTGGTGCCGGGTCCAGTGACGCGCCCCGCGTCCGGCCAATGGGCGGGCGGGGGAGGCAGGGGTAGGTTGGGTGGTAAGAGGACTGGGAGCGGAGCGGCGGCTGGCCGTGGGGGTGAGTGTGGCGGGCGGGCTGAACTGAGGCGGGCCGGGGACGCGTTCCGAATCGCGTTCCCTCTGTGTCTGCGGAGCCCCTCGAGCCCTTCGTGGAGGCCACAGATAAAAAGGCACACTGCTTATCTTGACGAGAGGGCTCCGTAGGACATTTTCCCGGGGAGACAGAGCCTCGACACTCAGAGTGTCTGGAAGCGTGTGTCCTAGGATCTCGGAGGAGGAATGGGGCTAACTGGGGTAGAGGGGAGATCGGCGAAGCCTGACTCCAAAGGAAAAAGTGGAAGACGATTTTAGAGACTGTGGAAAAGGGCTCTAATCCTACCCGTGTCTCGCTTTGGGGGGGTTGTCCGTGATGAGGAAGAAAGGAAATCCTTAAATGGAGGCCTTGACGGAAAAGCGTTTGAGGATTCCGCAAACATCGGGTCTTAATGTAAGATTTCCGATCCGTTCTTGGGGCTGGGCATTATGACATACTAATTACGGTTCTGTTTGTCTTGGTGTGAGGCTTGAGTCTTTAAAAGAGCCATGCTATTTCCCATAAAATTTTACATAGATAGCCTATGGTTATGGTAATAACTAGCATTTGGCGGCTATATAACATTCAGTATCTATTTTTTTTACTACAGCGATCCATAAGTGTTTTTGGAAGGTTATAGTATCCTCCAACACTTGTATAAAGACTGTCATTATTAATTTAGCCTTAGTACATAAAGAGTCCTCAATTAGATGTCTGCACTATTAATCATAACTCACGGTTAGAAAAATGAAGCTGTATTTGTGTTTCTGAGAGATGTTGTGATTACTAAAGATGCTTTGATCTCTCAATGTTGGTTCTAATTTCGGAATCTGGTAGTAATGGAATGACTTGTTTTGCAGGTGGAAATGAGTTCTCAGCAGTTTCCTCGGTTGGGAACCCCTTCCCCTGGGCTCAGCCAGGCACCTTCACAGATCGCAAACAGTGGTTCCACAGGCTTGATAAACCAGGTTGCCACAGGTGAGATGTGTTACATTTCTTTCATATTGCTTAGTTTTAAGAATGTTACTAACTTCAAATTAGCAAATTCCTTCTCATAACTACTAGTCTACTGGCTTTGAGGAAAGGATGTATTGATACACTTTTAAAATAAGGCATATTCCCTCTTTTTTTGGTCATTTATATTTTCTGGGGTAAGTGTACAACTTTAGTAAATCATGCTTATACGAATCATTTTTAAATGTATTAGTATGTTAGCATTTTATTAACTCTCAGGGTATAGGTATGGTAATAGTGCCACTAGAGAGCCCAACAGTGAGTGGGACAGAAGCCTTACTTCTTAGGACCGTAAGGTCTAGGAAAAGAGAAGTAGATAGCATGTGTCTGGGTCTGTCTTCATGCATGTGTGTTTGAAGGCCAGAGGTCAACCTCACATATGCTTCCCCAGGAACTGTTCACCTTGTTTTTTCATACAGGGTCCCCTCACTGAGTCTGGGGCTCTGAGCAGGCTAGGCTGACAAGTACTTCATTGACTGAGCTGTTCCCCAACCCTGGAAAAGACGGTTGAAAAGTATATATTCACATGTTTGCACTTGGGTTTTTATTTGTAATATATCCTTTCGGTGCTGTAGATTAGTTGATATTCGTTGGTGAACAATATTGCCTATAATAATATTTGACTGTGTGTAGAGACATTTGTGGTTGTCACAGCTGAGAGGTACTGAACATCCTTAAATGCACCAGACAAACCACTTCTGCCTTCTAACAATCATCAAAGCTAGTGAGCAATCTTCAGATGTTGTTTTCACTCTGTATCGAGCAAATACTGCAAGCTGAAATGAAATCCTTTTCCTGGTCTGTTTGGTCACCATCCAGTTCTTGTACTCTTTACGGCAAACGCTACTGTTGTTCATTCATCGCTCAAGCCAAAGGCTGAGGCATCTTTGGTTGTGATTGATTGTGTTCTAGCTACTCTTTCCTCTTCCTCTCCCAACCCTAGCATTGACTCATAATGTAGCCCAGGCTGGCCTCAAACTCTTGACTCTCCTACTTCAGGAGAGTCCTGGGATCACAAGTTTGTTTCACCAGGCCTGGCTGATTTTATCTGCCAGTGAGCTGGGGCCTTACTATTTTGAGCTTGTTTCTTTTGCTTTGACTACTTCCTGCTGACTTTGTTTTTAATTGCAGATTTTTTTGTTGTTGTTACTTTAAGCTGCTCTCTGCCTGCCATTGGACAGTATGTACTCATTTTTCTGCATATAACATGTCCCGTTTCCATGGCTCAGGGCTTTCTTCCTTCCCAGGTTCGGTATTGGCTGGTTGTTCTTCCTTGAGGATTCATCTTAGACACCATTTTCTGGATGTCTTTGCTGACTTTATTTTCTACTACATTTCAGATTCTGTGTGTTTCATGAACCTTTGTATGCACATACTTGCTATAATGGATAGCACAAGGTGTAGTCAGCAACTTCTTGTAGAGCCATCTAAAGTGCTTTCTTTCTTGTTAGGCATAGTGATGCACATCTGTAGTCTAAGCATTTGAGTAGTTGAAGAAAGCTTATCAGTTTAAAGCAATGCAGCTGAAGTTTGGCTGCAAAGCAGGTCCAGGACCATGGGCTCCGTGAGACAACCCCTGCCCCGAAACAGTTCTGACAACATGTTGTTGCCTTTGGCAGAAGTTCATTACAGTGATTTAAAGAGCTGAAGATAAGAACATTGGTTTTTGAAGGGAAAGAAATGAGAGCTGTACTTATGGAAAAAAGAAAGGCAGATCATCATTGGAGCTTTGCAGTGTGATGCTTGATGCTAATCAAGCCTAATGCTTCTTTCCTAGACTGTTTTTCATGGTTCACCCTCATGCTTCTGTACTCTCCACACATTTCAAGACCCAGCTCAAAACTTAATAGGTAGACTGTTCATGAAAAATTTCAGAAGACTATTAAGTTGTCTTATTTTTCCTTTTATTTTAAGTAAATCAAATTTATTTTCCAAAAAATGTTAAGTCTGGGATTAACCAGTCCAGCATGATCTGGTAGCTTCGTGATCATCACCCAGTTTCTTTCTTTGTCAGAAGCTGTCAGTGTAGCACTCTTGACAGGGTGCTTGTCTAGCAGATGGAAGCTCTGGGCTCCATCCCTAGCACCACATAAATGGGATGTAGTGGTCCATGCTTATAGTCCCAACTGTTAGAAGGTAGAGGAAAGAGGATCAGGAGTTCAAGACCAACCCTGGCTGCATAGCGTATCTGAGGCTATCCTGGACTACATGAGACCCTAGTCACAACAGAAGAGGAAGATGGAGGAAGAGAGGAGGTTTTCACCTAAGTAGTTACATATTTCTCTGTTTCATGAGAGATGATGTGGGGTCCTAGGCATGCCAGGAATTAAAGTATAAGTTTAAAGTTAAGAAGTAGAAATAGCGCCGGGCGGTGGTGGCGCAAGCCTTTAATCCCAGCACTTGGGAGGCAGAGCCAGGCGGATCTTTGTGAGTTCGAGACCAGCCTGGGCTACAGAGCGAGATCCAGGAAAGGCACAAAGCTACACAGAGAAACCCTGTCTCAAAAAAACAAAAAACAAAAAACAAACAAAAAAAAAAGAAGTAGAAATAGCTAATGCTTCAAGATTCTGTTGAAGATGAATAGAAACATGGTTGGGGATATAACTCAGTGGCACAGGACTTATCTTGAATGTTTCAGATCTCTGGGTTTGATCCTCAACAACCCCATCCCCTCCCCCAAAATAAATAAGTCCAAAAGTGTGGAGGAACCAGATAAATGAATTTCCAAAGAGCCTAGTGGGAAATGATCAGTACATTCTAATTTAATAAAGTTGTTAAAAATCAGTCTTCCTGGACCAAATAGGCTTTGGGAAAGTTTAGGAAATGGTCCATTTTCTTAATTTTTTTTTTTAACTAGGAAACAAATTGGTTTGGGTAACCAGGAAAGTAAACAATCATAAACAATATGGTCATATATATATATAGAAAATCTTAATCTTTTTTTTAAAACTGTCAGAATAAGTGGCATTAGTAAAATAATAGGCTACAAGATCAATGTGTGAAAGTTCATTACATGTCTGAATACTGGCAATAGACAATTTTTTCATGTGTCTGTAGTTTATGTGTTTGTGTGGATGTGTGTGCCAAAAATCATGTCAAGTGTCTTTGGTCGCTCTCCATCTTTAGTGTTTGAGGCAGGGTCCCTTACTGAACATGGAACGCATGGATTTAGCTAGGTTGGCCAGGCACTGACCTTCAGGGATCTACCTCTGCAGCCCCCACTCCCACCAAGTGCAGGGTGACAGGTGTGTGCCACCGTGCTCAGCTCTTCTGTGGGCACTGGGCCTCCACACTCAGGTGCTGGGCTTGCATAGCACGTACATAGTGACTGACCCATCTCCCCAGCGTAGACGCAAGGTGGGTTTTCGTTGTTAATGTCCATTTACAATAGCTACCGAAAATAACAGCAGAAGATAAATTTAAGAAAATACATGTAAGGCTGGGTAAGGTAACACATACCTTTGATCCCACTACTCAGGAGGCTGAGACAGGCAGACCTCAGTGAGTTTGAGGCTAGCCTAATCTACATAGCAAATTCCAGGCCAGCCATGAGCACATAGTGAGACCCTGTCTCAACATAAATATATTTAAGACCTGAAGTCAAACACATTGAGACAGTGACATGAGACATTGCTGAGCAATATTGAAGAACTAGATACATGAAAAACTTGATGGTCACAAATTGAAGTACTTAACATTTTCGACACCATTGTTTCTTCCCTAAGTGCGTATATATGATATAAAGATATCATAATAGCACCCTTGTGTACTTTTTTTTCTTTTTTTTTTTTTTTTTGGTTTTTCGAGACAGGGTTTCTCTGTGTAGTTTTAGTGCCTGTCCTGGATCTTGCTCTGTAGACCAGGCTGGCCTCGAACTCACAGAGATCCACTTGACTCTACCTCCCGAGTGCTGGGATTAAAGGCATGTGCCACTGCTGCCCAGCTCCTTGTGTACTTTTTTGTAGAATCTTGACAACCTGGCTCTAAAATTTGTGTGGAAATCCAAAGGGTTTAAGGATTTCTAAAGCAATTTTGACCCCAGAGAAAGGAAAATCATCATTACCTTACTTTACAACTTATTACAAAACTTCATTAATCAAGATGGTGTAGTATTGGCATTATATAGGTGAATAAAGTACACTATCCAGAAAGTGATTCATAGGTAGATAGAAAGTCATTCATAGGTAAAAAGAAAGTCGTTCATAGGTAGGTAGAAAGTCATTCATAGGTAGATAGAAAGTCATTCATAGGTAGGTAGATAGACAAACAGATGTATGTTTTGTTTTGTTCTTTAACAAAAGTGTGTGATTAATAGGGGAATGAACTTGAATAAACATACCAGTGTGGAGGGAGAAAACAACTTTGTAGGGTGTGTTTTCTTTTTCTACCCTGGAACCTGGAGATCAAACTCAGGGCATCAGACTTACATGGCAAGTGATTTTACCCTCAGAGTTAATCTCGCTAGCCCCAAAATACCAGAATATAGGGGAGAATAGACCTTGACCATTACTTTCCTCTTACATAAAAGTTAATTTACTTTAGACCATTGATCTAAATGTAAACTTTTTAATTTCTAAAAGAAAACATAGGAGAAACAGTTTGCAACTTTTCAGTAAGCAAAAATTTCTTAGGTCACAAAATAATACAAAGTGTAACAAACAGTTGATGTAAATTAAAAATAACTTCATTTCAAAAGACATCACTAACAATATCAAGTGGGATGCCCCCAAATGGTATAAGGGTATTTTTTAATAATGTGTCTATAATGACTCATATCCTGAATGTAGAAAGAATTCCTATAACTGAGTAATAAAAAGATAAAAAGATAAACTTTTTTTTTTTTTTTTTTTTTTTTTTGGTTTTTTCGAGACAGGGAAAAGCTTAACTTTTTAAGGGTAAGAAAAAAAATTATTGTCTACTTAATAGATAGCCAACAATAGTGATGAGTGCCAAAGAAGTACATG